GAGAAGGGGAGAAAATGAACCCCCCCCCGAGAAAAGCCACTGTGACACTTGGTTCTTTTGCCTCCTTTATTGCATGGGGAGAGGCTGTGGGAAGGAGCCTCACCGATCTCTCCATTGCCTGAGTGCACATGTGTATGTGTGGATGTACACATGTGTTTCTGTCTGAGGGTATACACATCAAAGGGAGCAGAGCAGGGTTTATTTCAAAGGAAATAAGATTTTTTAAAAAAAGTCAGAGGACAATCAGCAAAAGGAGAGATCCCAGGGGATGGGGTGGGAATGTTCACTGGATCACCTGTGCACATATAAAATGAAATTTTAAAAAGGGAATGGAAAAAGAAGCAAGCTAGACAAAATGGAAGATGATGCAATGGAATATGTGTATTTGAAATATGTATATTTGCTTTACTACAAACCATAAAAGGAAAGTCAGAAGTGGGACTAGAAGGAAAAAGGGAAGCTGTGGGCTGGGATGCCAATGGCAATACATCCAGTGAGAACACTGCACTCCTGAAATGTTCCACAGTCTTTGAAGCAAACTGGAGCAAATTCAAGTCCTTCCAATTTGGTGTTCCAATGTACTCACAACCTAAGTCCCATTGGATACATTTATCTCACCCTCTGGAGCCATAGGTGAGGGGGAAGAGAGGCTGAGCCATGTAGCCCTTCCCTCCTCTTCTAAATCCATATAGGCCAACTCTTCTTTTGTCACTCTCTGGGCTTTTGCCCCTTTTTTGAATCAGTACATGAACCTGCACACACTATCTACAAGAAACAAAAGACAGCTGTGCGTGCAGCACACATCAAAGGCAGCAGTACTTCACTCCCTTCAATATTCAATGGTGGTGGTGGTGGTGGGAGATACTATTACCTGTTTCCTGCCTTCCGCATATACAGTATAAATCTACAGCAGAGACATCTAGAGGGTGGATGTCACAGGCTATTTCCCGAAAACTAATGAAAGTAACAATAAAAATGCATCTGAAGAGCTGGATAAAAATTGAGGCCACAAGCAGAGTTGTTGTAGAGGTGAGCAAATATGAAGAACTTCTGGCTAGCTCAGTGGTTTAGGCATCTGGCTACAAAGCCAGAGGTTGGGACTTTGATTCCCCACTCTACCTCCTTGTCAAGGGCTGGACTTCCAGCTCTGCAGTTCTAATATTATTATTATTATTATTATTATTATTATTATTATTATTATTATTATTATTATTATTATTATTATTATTATTATTATTATTATTATTATTATTATTAAGACCAGATTACTCATAAACATGTTTGAAGTTCCTTATGGGTTCAAACGTAGCTTGCAGAGAAAATGTGAAACATCATAGAAATCCTACCCCTTTATGACGTTTCCTGTTACAGAAATTGCTACTGCTTCCAGATCATTTTGGTTGCTGTTTTTGGCATCTGTTCCATTAGCTTTGTAACTTCCTTCTTGAGACACAATGACCAGACCTGTATACAGCAGCTAGTATCCTGTTCGATATTTACACCCTTGCAGAGTTCCAGCTGTCAAAGATGCCATGGTGATCTGATGAGGTGCTGACTGATACTTGTAGAGCAGACATACCAGAGAGCTGCATAAAGGAAGTATGATATTGAGAGGTTTTTTTTAAAAAAATCTTTTCTAAAGGGACTCTGAGTGTTTATGTGTGTGTTGGAAAGTGGTGGGGTGGGAGGTGGGGAGAACACATCATTTCCATGTAATGAGAACTTGAATGAGTGCAAATCAGGACTCTCGGGGACAACAAGGAATTCAGTTGCAATGATACCAAAGAGATGGCGCATTGCAGCTATCTGCTTCAGGTTCCTGCTCTCTTGATGAAAATGTTCCCCAGCAACTAGAGCAATTACTTGAAACAGAAGTGATCACTCTACTTTCACATCATGTCTGAGCTGCACAGAAATAATAACCAACCCGTTTCCTTTGACAAAAGCATCAGTGCTCAGCACAGATCACCAGCCCACCCATTTCCTGCAAGGTGTGTTAGGGGAGAATGTTGCCCTCACATGGGGGCTGTTTTTGCAGAGGCGTAAATGGCACAGACCTCTGAGAGTAAAAATGTAGCCCTTGCCATATGGGAGGGCAGAGGCCCCCCTTCTGAACTACAGCCATTTGTTCAAAGTATTTCAATAATGAAGTGCCTAATTTGTACCTATTGTGGAAGCTTTCCTTGCCAGTTAGACAGATCCACAATAAACAAGCATCTGTGAAACTAGAGAACTAATTTTTCTGGATCCAGGATTTTCTTACTCCCGAAAGAAAAGCTCATCTAGTTTTGCCTGAATTCTGTGATTAGTTGATCCAAGGAGCAATCCTATGACTTTATAGCTAAATTGAGTTTTACTTGTTTTTATTCTTTCATGAAGACTGTAAGCTGCCTTGAATGCTACTTTCCAGTGGAAAGCATGAATGAATGAATCTAAAGAAGCTAGTCATCTTAACATAGCTGGATTGCCCAAGCTAACACCAAAGGATTGCATGTACAGGCGTAGGCTAGTTGCAATGATCATTTTTCAGCAGCTGCCTTGCTCTTATGGATTACTCTCATGTTTTCCTCCATATTATAAATTTCAGTCTCTTTTGGTTTTGGAAAATGAAACTGCAACAACAAACTGTGATAAGCACGTTATCACAGATAAAAGCTATTACAACTGGCTTGGTGGTATATAGATCATTGTAGTTGCCTGCATTTTTGGGGACTCTCCCTGAAGATGCAGCTATGGGGTGCGACACAATGAGCACTTGTACTAAGAACTGATTGCTACACCCCTAGAGTGAGTGGGTGACTTGCCTTTCTTCCAGATGCATTTCTAGCACTTCTTGTAGTCCATCACTAACAGGAAGAGGAGGCAGCTGCCAAAGTTCAGACATGTCCTCCATTCTATCTGTAAACAGAAGCAATAAAATATTGCAACACCCAAGTCTGAATCCTGTAGCTTTCTAGAGATGAAAAAATGCTGATAAATACAATGAGCTTCCTTATCTCAAAAGCTTTCTCTTTGAATGTGTTAGTACTGTTGATGGAAGATGTAACATGGAAAAGAACCCCTTTAAAAGTGAATTACTACAGATTTTTTAAAAATTTGACCTGGAAGTGCAGGAAATAAAAATGTAAAAATCCAGTTATGATGCTACTTATGACAAGAACCTGCATACTTAGCCCAAGTATAAAGGACTCACCCACATTTTATAGTGAAAAAAAGCTATGGTACTTTCCCCAAGGCTATATTTTTAGATAAGTAAGTGGGTGTAGTGTTGGAAGACTGTGAATATTTTGAAACCAGATTTGCAGGTCCTTAATCGTAGTTAGGCATCTCAGTGTCATATTCCCAAGTCTCTGTTTGGGAGTTGCAACTCAGAGAAAGGCTCATGCAACCTTTATGGCCTTTACACGCAGACCTTTAAAGCTCTTGCACAGATGGTGACAGATTTGAAAAATTACTTCTAATTAATCATGCTGTTTCCCAAGTCAACCTTGCTACTATTGCTGGGAAGCTGGGAAGAAGATATGGAAAATTTCATATATGTATATATTTAATTGGCCATGCTGCTTGGGCAATTCTAAGAATTCTAAGTAATTTTTGCAAGTTCTGCTAAGTTACATGCATGCTGGAGACAGACAGATTAGTCAGAGTATTTTTCTGTGTATAAGATGATACTTTTTCCTAAAATCATTACACTAAAAATTGAGAGGTGTCTTATACATGGAGGTAAGCTGAGGAGAGAACAAAACGGCCCAGAAACCTCTGCAAACAGGTTCCTTCAGTCACGAGGCTTAGCTTTCTACGGTCAGGAGACCTAGCTTCCTCCTATCACAAGCCTTATGGAACCGACGTCAGCTGATGCTGAACAAACCATATGGAACACACCTTGTTGGAGGTGGAGCCTGTAGGCTCAGGTGCAACAGGGACTCAGAATGTCCAAACATTCTGAGCTGACAGGCTGAATACTGAAATCTAAGGTAAAGGTAAAGGTTCCCCTTGACAATTTTTGTCCAGTTGTGTTCGACTCTAGGGGGCGGTGCTCATCCCCATTTCCAAGCCATAGAGCCAGCGTTTTGTCCAAAGACAATCTTCCGTGGTCACATGGCCAGTGCGACTTAGACACGGAACGCTGTTACCTTCCCACCGAGGTGGTCCCTATTTATCTACTTGCATTTACATACTTTCGAACTGCTAGGCTGGCAGGAGCTGGGACAAGCGACGGGCACTCCCTCCGTCGCGTGGATTCGATCTTACGACTGCTGGTCTTCTGGCCCTGCAGCACAGGCTTCTGTGGTTTAGCCCACAGCGCCACCACATCCCTACTACTGAAATTTAAGTTTTCTTAATTTATGAGCCAGAAAAGCATGTGTGGGGTGTCTTCTAAACGGGGGCATCTTATAAACGGAAAAATATGGTAGATTAGATAGATAGATAGATAGATAGATAGATAGATAGATAGATAGATAGATAGATAGATAGATAGATAGATAGATAGATAGATAGATAGATAGATTTCTTCGAAGCTCATGAGCATGCACAGTCTTTAAAACAGAATGACGAAAGTAAAGAACTACACAGGACCCAAACCACTGCAGTCCTTCCATTTCAATATGTTTTCTACAGCCATATACCTTTTAAAGGCTTCCCTCTTTCTCCCAGTACATCTTTTGTTTGTTTTAGAAAGCAAATACGCTTTTCTCCCAACAGCAAGGGCTTCCTCTCCATCTGTTATATCATTTTATAATTATATTGTTACAAGCTTGTTGCTGCAGGGTTGGGGCAATGATGGATTTGAGAGGGAAGTTGCTGCCATCATTGCTTAGTAATAAAATCTGTGTGCAAAACCCTTAGAGAAGCTCTGTTCTTGCAAATCTCTGTGCCCAATGCAAGAGCCCTGCACTTATTTATTAAGTGAAGGTGGCAGTACTTCACTTTCAGAAACATTTGCTAAATTAATATCTCATCAATTAAATAATGAACAATTCAAACAACAGAACTGATGCTGCATCTTTTTTTTTTATTTTGCTGCTTGAAAGCAATTGCAGAGCTAGTAACAGAAGAGAAATAGCGATATAGTAAAAACAAAACATTAGGTGCTAGTCTAAGAGGAAACAGCGCCCTGCAAAGAAAGGAAGTTCATAGAGGCCAAGCCCGCAATAACTCTTAATAAAATACAATACAGAAAATAGGATCTGAGAGTCTCCAAAATACAATATCTTAAGGGATTGGCAATAATACAAAATAAGGTTCATTATGTACAAACAATTTCTGCTTTTGGTCTCTGTACAACGATGCAAATTTGAGGCACACGTGGACTATGCCAAATAGAATTTCTGGCTGATGAAAGGATTTGCATTAACTGAACAATGTTTCTTTGTGCTGCTTTTGTATTAAGAAAGAGGTGTTGTGAGAGTTCAGAGAGCTATGGTGGCATGTGTTGGTCCTGGTGGATTTTTTCTGAGAATTGCTCTGATAGATCTCCCCGTTCCCATATATCTGATGACATGGAAGCCATAGGGGAAACCTGCTACCTTGTACATAGGGCCCAGCTAGCTTCAGGGAATACAGAATGAATGGGGCTGTGCAGGGAACAATTGTGCATCCCTGTCATCTCTATCCTGTAATCTTCTGCCTGTAGAAGTTGTACATTTCTGGGTATGGTCAACCAGGTGCCTTTCTTTAGCTCACAAGGAAGCCCATCTAGTTTGTAGTGTCATGTTCTAAGTACAGCACTGTTAGAGGAGAGAAGGGCCCCATTAAGGCTGCTTGTTTGGAGAAAACTAAATCAAAAGCATAACAGGAACAAAGAACTAAAAAGAAGACATATAATGGTTCCCATTGGTGAGGTCCTCTGGCCCATTTCTGTAAAAACTTCAGACACTGAATTGCACACAGTATTTCCATATTAGAACGAATATGCATTTTTCCATCAGTATATTATGGGTAAAGAAAGGAAAAAAGAAAGAGAGAACAGGATTCAAATCAGTGTTTGACAAGACAAGATTTTGGTATAGGATGTGATTTTGTCGCCTTTTTCCTAATTTTTTTGCCTTTTACCCATGCTCAGAAGCAAATCCTTTTTGGTCTAAATTCCCTTCTTAGACCCAATGAGAGTAGACCCAGTGAATCAATGGAACATATATAAATGTTGATTACTAAGAACCCCTTGATTAAGTGGGTCTACTCTTGTTGGGACTAAGGATTGGTTTGAATGAACAGAGTTCAATGAGATTTATCTTCAAGTAAGTGTATGTGACTGCAGCCACGATCTTCATAGTGGGTTTGGTTTTATGGATTTCTTACTTGGTAAGCTTTTCTTTGATCTCATCTGAAGACTGCTTTTAATGTTATTTGGATATTTAATTGTAATCTGTTCTTACATTTCTGGCTCTGTGCATTCTACCTTGTTATTTTTAGATGTAATTGTGTAGTATAAAAATTAAGACCATCTCCCAGCCCTACCCCCCAAATCTGGCATGGTTGGGATGATGTATTCCTGATCCAGGGACAAACATGGTTGGGTACAGTTTATACAGTATACTTATGAAATTGTTGTCTGAGGAAAGAATATAACCAGTGGTCATGGTGATCATGACTAGTGGGGATAGGTTAAAGGCCTGAGGCTTCTACATTGCCAGGTGCTATCCCTGATTATGGTGATCAGTGTAAATCCTGACTGAAGGAGCAATATTGACACTGGGGACCGAATGAACAAACAGATAAGAGGGTGAACTCAAGGCCAATTTGAAGACATCCAAATGGAACATCCTCTCCCACTTGCAGTGCAAGCCTACACTTGTGTACTCAGAAGTAAATCCCACTGAATTCATTGGGACTTACTTCCAGGTAAGCATGCATAGGATTGTGCCTTTAATCACGCCACTCAGGAAACTCAACAGAGGAGGCCTTGAGAACTGCAGCTGCTACAAGAATTCAGCAGTATCGCTGGAGTTTCTGTCTCTGTAGAAAAAAAAGGAAGGAAAGAAAAGCATCAATCTGTTATCTTGTCACCTGCTTTCTCTCTCCATGTCAGATCCAGTCCTCTAATGCAGTGGTCCCCAACCTTGGGCCTCCAGATGTTCTTGAACTACAACTCCCAGAAGCCTTTGCCACCACCTCTGCTGGCCAGGATTTCTGGGAGTTGAAGTCCAAGAACATCTGGAGGCCCAAGGTTCGGGACCACTGATCTAATGAATGCTATGATGCCTCCTCCACAATCCTTGGTTTGCTAACTTAGCAGAATTTAGAAAAATACTTATACAGTAATTCTTAGAACTGTTCAACCAGCATGACCTTTGGCTAGGTAATTATAGAGACTGTATTTTTAAAAGGAGGCTTTTCCAAGCCTGTATTTCCAGATGGTTCATTAAGTTTCTCTGAGGACCCTTCCATCTGCACTGTTCTAGAGACACATCTGATTTTTGCTGTAAAGTGCTCTGACTGCTACCAGCTCTGTTGGCAACTGAATCTTATAGTCCATACTGCAGTTTAGGGACAGACACATATTTTAAAAAAGAACCCATATACACTCTGCCATTTCTAGTTAAAAACAGAAGAGAACAGCTGAAAAGAAAGATTTATGCTTTAGACTCTGAACAACCACTGCCACCGAGTAGAATAGACTGATCTAGAAGGGCAAATTAATTTGGCCATGTCTAAGGCAGCTTCCTAGTTATCTCCAGTAGAGAAGATACATGATCTACCACTGCAATTATTGATTCAAAGGCAATAATTGGGAGAGTCTGATCAATGCACTTTAAACAGGAAGAAAAACCTTAAGAACATGGCCAAACAGCCCAAAAAACCTACAACAACCACTTTAAACAGAGCTAGGAGAAGTAACTTTTCTAAACTATAACTGCCAACTGGCTATGCTAGCTGGAGAGACATGTTCTGGAACTGAAATTAAATATAGATATATTCTAGTTATGATATTTGTGCAAGCATATTGGACAAAAAAACAAAGCAATACAAAAAAAGAGAGACAAAAACATTGTAGCACCTTAGACTAATGACTATATTTTAATGTGAGCTTTCATGGATCAAGTCCACATCCTCAAACAGAAGAGTGAGACTATGTGATGGTTATACTTATACATGGTTCCGTGAACAAGTAAGGACACAGATAATGAACAGCTTGATAGTATGTTCCTTTACTAATGAACTATTTGGCACCAGCTAGAAAGAGGCCCGCATCTTCTTACCTCTCAAGGAATCGCTGCTTGGAGTGAGTAAGAGCTGAGCTGCTCTCGTTTTGAATTTGCCCCTCCAGGTTGGGTTTGTTCAGGTATTTGGCTGTTTCATGGGCCACAACCAGAGGGTTGTGCACGTGCTCCTGAGGCTGTTGCTCTTCCTCACGTTGCCTGTTATCAGCCTCCCACTTTTCAGAACGCTCTACTGAGATGAAGGAGCTATAGCTTTCCTCTAAGGACCCCCCATGCTCATCGTAGAACAGAAGGCTTCGAGAATGAACTGCAGAAGAGAAGAGCTCTATTAGGTGCTGAAGCCATGATTGTACGATGTTGATAGATTATTCCAAACCCTGCTATTTATTTTATATTTCACTCATTAGTTACTTCTATATTTCACCCTTCCTCCAATATACATGACAACTGCTCCTTTCTACTTAATTTTCACAACAAACCTTTGAGGTATGTCAAGCTGAGAGGGAGTGATTGGGCCGAAGTCTCTAATAATTTTCACAGGTCAGCAACAATTTGAAAAGGATTTTCCAAGTTCCAGTCTAGCACTAACCATTATGCTACCAAAATGCATCAGCATATAAACTGATGACATATCTACACAGCCTGACCACATTAGAGCATTGCCCAGCTCTGTGTTACAGCCCTCCCTTCTCTTAACATGTTCATGCTGCTGCTGCTGCTGTTATGCACCATCAAAGTTGTTTCTGACTTATGGTGACCCTAATAGGGGTTTCAAGGTACCTATTACCCCTCCAGTATGTCTCCATGGCCAAGCAAAGATTTGAACCCAGGTCTCCTGAATCCTAGTCCAAGATTCTATACACTAACACTATATTAGCCAAAATCTTATTGCCTAAATTACTCCACCAGAAGGTTGAGAAAATGACTAGCAGCGGGAGATTATTTGTACTTAAATACTTCTTTCATATGTCCCACAGCCTGTCTGACTCATGAGTAATCCATTACATGGAAGTCACAGAATGGAAGAAGGAAGCTTTTAATTACCTAAAATCTTTCTCTGCTGGTAATTAAAGATTTTTCCCTTCCATAACTACAGCTCTCATATAATAAAACTGATTATGTCTGACTCAGATGAGCTGACGACAAAAGGAGAAAGCCTTTGATAACTGAGAATCCCCCTCGTTACCAGTGACCTCATCACCTTTTACAGATGTAACTTACACAGCAGGCTTTTGGTCACTGGCTGTCATTAAAAGCACATGGAAAGTCAGCATACAAGGTATTTCTCTGCTGTGTTTTCATATCAACAACAGATCTACATGGTAAATTTCTATTTGCCATGCCCTTCTTACAAGTGCAGGAACCAGGATAGAAAAAAATTGTAGTAACTGTTTTTTAAAAGTCCAGTTGGGGGGCATTTGGGTTTCCCAGTGGCATTATCTATTAATACACCAACCAACCACATCCTTTTAAAAATGATTTGAACACTGTTCACAGATGACCCTTTGACAGGAGAGGTGAGGACGATCTACTAAACCATCTGTATACCAGATTCTTCATATTGTAATCACAAAAGGCAGTGCCACTTCCACATGGAGCATACTCATGCTAATCTTGAAGACTCTAAGCAGCCTCTGTTAGCATGGAGACATTGTCATCAGGAAGCTGTTCTAGCTGACCTTTATATGGTTGCTAGGATATGTATACTAGTCCTTTGTTTGGGCCAAGAGTGTGCAAACAAAATGCAGACCTTTGGTCATGAGTTATTGTGCATTGAAGGAACAAGTGAACCCCTCTCCCCAAATGAAAAATCACATAGGTTGTTTTAAACTGCTAAAAATATCTGGAAAGTCAGCTGGCTCTTTAAGAAGTGCCACTGTAGAGATCGGTCTCCAATAACATGTCCAGAAAATTTTCAAAAAACATGTGTTGCAGATCGAACTCTAAATGTTTGCTGGAAGTGCAGAACATAATTGGAGAGAAGTGCAACTAATGTCCCTAGATATAAATGCAGGTAGATGGGCTTCCTTTATTTGCTTCCACACATCTGTTTACACCCCCTCTCTTAATCCCACAGCCAGTGGTACCAGAACACATCTTTTCTATTTCTCAAATATGTAGATCATTCTAATAAAACTTTATTGGAAGCAGTCTTTTGTTGACAATTCCACACATCATCCTCTATACAGCTTCTCAACGGAGTTGAGCCTGACAAATGTTTGAATGGCAACTCTATAACTGTTTCTCCAAAGTCTTTAGCAGAAGTCTGGGACAGAAAAATAATAAAGTAAAAAAAGACTAATAAACCTGCCTCTCAGTTTTAAAGTAAACAACATTCCAAATAAAGGGTCCTAGACAGAGAAAAAAAGAGAGAGCTAGTCAATCTGCCTTTGAGAATGTCAACGGTTTTGGTCACTCACTGACAGACAACAGGATCAATATGTAAGGAGAATGAGGTGCCAGTCCTTAAACAGTATGCCTGTGATCATGCTTGTCTGCACTGCAGACAAATAATGCATGAATATTTGTGCACTGTTTGTTTCAGGGTTTGCTGTTTGTGCCAAGACAGTGACTATTTTGGACAAAGTCCCTATGAGGCTAAGTGAATGGCCCAAAATGACCAATCATGGGAAGATTGGCTGTTTCAGGCCATTTGTTACCTACACATTTTCTGGGGTATGTAATGGGCATGAAAGGTTTGGAGACTACTCTTTGTGTAGCCCTGAAGCAGATCTCTACCCACAATCAAAAACAGGATGACCAGGTTTATTACCTCAGCTATTTTCTTGTGAGAATCTGGTTTTTGTTTTCAGCTTGTGTTCATATGAGAGGCTCAAAGAAAATCTCAGGAAACAGAGTAGGAATATGGTGTAGCTGAGGTGACAATGCTTGTACGTACTGTCAGAAGACCTCAGGCAATTTTCATCTAGAAATTTTGTCAGTTTTCCCTCCTTACTTCCCAACCCCTATGGACATCCATTTGAAGTGACAAGCCCATTGGGGGAGGGAGGTATCTGAGGTGGAAATAACTGATGAAACCCACACTGAGCTGTGCAGATGGCTAAAAATCAAATTTAATAAAACTAGTGATGCCATTAATCCCACTATACCTAGACCTTCAATACATCAGAGGGCAACACTAGTATTTTTTAAAAGAATAGCATTTGTTTATGAAAGACGAGAACATCAGCATCAACATCTATACACATGGCGGACCTCAATTTGGAGGTGGGTGTGGATGAATAAACTGAAAGTTAGATGATCATATATGATCACACACCTCACTCTTGGGGGAAGACCCCAGCTGTGGAACCTACATGCTAGCTCTACCTGTTGTTCATAGGCTTATAATAGATGGGCAACTTCAAGACCCCTGCATTGAGGAAACAGCTCTTCAAGGAGAGATGCTTTCAAACAGAAAACTATCCTGCATAAAGTGAACAGAAATAATATCCTGTTCCATTACAGGTTTCCTGACACATCCAGATCTGCTCAGTTCAAGACTGAAGACATCAAGAAATAGTCTTGTTATTTGCCACAGACATACTGGTCACACATGGAACTAGACAAATGTTTTGTTTTCCTGCATCAGATGCTTTGATTCACCTTTGGTGAATTACTCTTGGGACAGAAGGTTAATAGAGGAAATGGCAGACGAGACAAACAGAAGCATCAACATCTGAATCAGAGCTTTGAAACATCAAAGTTTTGCGCTACAACACCCAGAAGCAATCAGCCAGTCTGTCTAGTGGCTGGGCTGGCTGGAGGATTATAGGATTTAGTAACATTACCACACTCTAGATTTGCTATAACTCTGGCTCTTCCAGAGGGTTATAATAACAAAGAATTAGGTGACATCTAACTCACTTTTACTGGTTGTGTAAATGTCCGGTGATGGAGCTGTTTTTACTGTCTGTGATGCTGCAGAGAATTCTGGGAGACATGGCATCATTGAGCCCAGGACCAAGACAAAGCACAAAACTAGGACCTATGGATGAAATGCAAAAGGAACCATCAGTGCAGCTAACCAAGAGATAGAATATGATTGTGCGCTTGTGTTCACGCAAGGAAACAGAAGTGAGAAGTTAAGCTGCAAATTGTCATTGAGTTTTTGAAAAAAAATAAGTGGCTAGACCTTAACTTGAGACTTTTCTTAGATGCAGCTATTTATTCCTGATAAAGAATACAGTTATAACTGAAAACAAATCAAATGATCTGCACATCAATGTCAGTGTTAAATACCTGCTGGTATCTTTTATTTACTGTGTTTTTATCCTGTCATTCCTCCAAGGTGTTCACTGAAACAGGATTTCTGTTACAGTCATCCTCGTTTCGCTCATCATCACAATAACCCTGTGAGATGATTACTAGCTCAAGGTTTCCCAGATTGCTTTTTGCTTAAGTAGTAATTTACATCTGAAGCATTCTGGTCCTTCAACATATTCAACATGACAATTTCAGAAGCAAAATTTGAGGAACAATATTCAGGGGCCATTGAAATAAAGTTTATTTTTCATCCATGCAAGACTGATACCTTTTTCTTTTTTGTTTTTGGCTGGAATAGTTCTAAAACAGGCAAAAGATAAGGGGATGGGGAAAACCTCACCTACTGATTTTTTGTTTTTGTTTTTCATGAATATATTAATGTTGCAGAATGGCTTCTGAAACAGAAAAGTGAAATACTATTTTTGTGAAGCACTAAATTAATGCTTATTTAGGCCATTTGGTAGGTTTGATACAGACTTGGTGCTCAGCAGAAGGGGAAAACAATTAATTGTTCAAATAATATATTCCTTTTTGGATCCTTTTAATTAGTCACCAGTAGAGCAAAGAAATGGAATCTGAAACTGTTTTTGTTTTATTCTATAATAGAATTACTGTTAATTACATGTTTAATGATCCCAAATAGTACAGAATACATTATTTTCTAACATAAAACTACAGTAATTGGTGAACTTTGCTGTGACTATTATTCGTTATTAAACAATGTTTATAGTCCACTTTATGACAAAAAATTACCAAGTTAAAAGCAACAATATGAAAAAAAAAACCAGTAAATTTTTTTCAAAAGGCCTTGGAACATCTGAAACACAAAGATTCAAATTTAACTAAAATGCCTGGGATAAGCTATTAACCAGAACTTAATGCAAACAGCAGTCTTAGACATTTTCATAGCTGACAGGAAAAGTTAAATGAATGTACACTGAAACAAGTTCTCTGGCTCTTTAAAAAAATTACTTAAATGTGAAGATGATCCTGAACGACTGACCATATGAAACAAATATTCTGTGTTAGTTCAGAATATAATCAGCACTGTGTGCTAGGATTTTAGGATTACATATTAATGGGCAGCAAGAAATAGTCCAAATTTACATTAGCGAGGATTTAAAATGCAGTGACACGCCGAATCCTCTTGATATGGTGGATGTCAGACCAGGTGTAAGAATGGGTGGGAGGCATGCAGAAAAGTAAGGACATTAAGCAACTAAATTCAAAGTTGTTCATTATTGCTGTTTTTTCTACTGTAACACAGTCTGTGCTGAAAACAAGAATCGTCAGGTGTGTCTCGTTGTCCCTCAAGTTCATGTGACTAAAGTGACACTTAAGGGCCGAAAGTAAAAAAGTTGCCACCAAATTCTGGGCACATTCTCACATGTTACCCTTGCTTCCCAAATGTTTTCAGGTATGTGTCCTGCAGGTTGCACTGCATTACCGAATCGCTACTCTAATAAATGCTACAATACTCTTTTTTTTTTTAAATTGCAGCCTACATTGGCAAAAACTGCAGAGGCCTCTATGGCTTCAGAGGACGAAAAAGAAGGCATGGCAAAAGAGATCATACAGAACGTGTGGGATGACCACTTGTGCCATGTACTAAAAGATAGAATATGTTCATAAGATCATTCACAAAGAGTATACGATATCTGTACACAAAGGCATAAAGAAAAAGCTCTAAGAAAAAAAAAAAAGAATAGAGAACATGCAGACTTTACCATCAGGCAGGTTCCTGTCTGTGTGGAAGCCATTTTGTACGGCCTAGAAACCTTCCCTGCTACCAGAGCCTGTAGCTTTTGTAACTGCTGAAGAAGAGTCCTAGGAAAGAAAATATCCTTGTGAAACATAAACCTTTAGGAGAAAACTGGTATATATTTGTTATATTTATATCCCACTTTTCCTCTGATTAATTAGCATACACAACTGTCCTCCCTCCCACTTTATCCTCACAAGGAGCCATGACATAGGTTGGGCTGAGAGGGTTGACTGGACCGAGGTCACCCAATGAGTTCTGGGGCCAAGCAAGGATTTGAATCTGGAACACCTGATGCCTAGTTTGACACTCAAACTTAGCGATGCCCTGAAAAGCAGCCTCCAGTGCCTGAGGCTCCCTTATACCCCCATGCACCAAAATGTATAAAAAAGAAAAAGAAATGATGCAGCAATAAGATGATGTGTGTCCTCTAGGGAGGGAGCAATTTGCCAAGTTTTGAGCTTTCCGATTATTGCTGCTTTCCATGTGCTCAAATTGTTTACTATTATTTTTAAAGTAATATTTTTGGTCACTTTAGAGCACAAGGTGGCCCTTTCAGTTACTGTAAAAAACACAGTTTGTTAGAAATGGGGATGTGGAGGGCACCACAGTAGAGGTCCTTCAATGTCCAGTGATGGGTTCACATGGTCCCTAGACCTCTAGATGTTGCCCATTCCTCCTTTAACCAGGATTGGGTTAGCAGTCTGGGGGTGTTTTCAGACACAGCTCTCTCTACAGAGGTATAAATATCTGCTGGGGCCAAAGAGTGCCTTTTATCAACTTCACTCAGTTGTCCAGCTGTGCTCCTACCTGGATAAGAAATGCATAACAACAGTGATCCATGTGTTGGTAATCGCCAAAACAGACTACTCACTATGTTCACTATGTAGGACTGCCCCCGGAGTCAGAATAGAAATTTCAGCAGGTCCAAAATGCTGTGGCCAGATTTACAGGTACCAGCAGATATGAACACACATCCCCAGTCTTGGCACACCTTCATTGGCTCTTTGTTAGTTTCTGTGCTTAGTTTAAGGTGCTGGTCATAATCTATAAAGACCTTAACAATTTAGGACCTCTATATTTGGCAAAACATCTCTCCCAAAAAATAGCTACCCGCCCCACATGCTCCTTGCAATCCTTGATGTTAAGAATTATAATACCTAAAGAAGTAAAAAAAAAAAGCCAACACAAGACACTGAGCTTTTTCGGTCATGGCCCTGTTCCTCTGAAACAAGGTTCCCCAGGCACAATCCCTCTTTGTTGAAACATTTTGCTACTCATCCAAGTAGCTTCTTCAGTTTGAGGAGAGTTGGTAGGAGATCCCTGATATATCCTCCACATCGGTTTCACTTCCTCCTGGCTTGAATAGGCTTGTTAGAAAGACAAAGGATTGGGGGTGAGGGATAATCCCACTTCTGCAATTCTTCTTCACCCATTGTTATAGGTTGTTAACAGTGGTCTTTCTGATGTGTTTGGTCCTAATCTTTCTGGGGATGGATGAAAGGGCAGCATGATAAATAGGAGACAGGTTGTATCCAAGGTCTCCACCCCTGATGAGTGAGGGATTTTCCATATGCACATGTATGGTCTCCCTGACCCTTCTCTTAAATCAAGTATCTTCTTGGTCCAAAATTAGTACATCTTTGTCATCAAATGAGTGTCCTTTACCTTTCAAATGAAGGAACATTGCTGATTGTGGTCCTGAGCCACTACCCCTCCTGTGCCATTCTCCTGTTTAGTGGCTGTTTGGTTTTGCCAATGTAGAGTTCCAAACACTCCTCTTTGCATTGGACCACATACACTATATTGCTCCTGTTGTGTTTTGGTGGCTGATCTTTTGGGTGGACGAGTCTCTGCCTTAGTGTGTTTGTGGGTTTGAAGTACATGAGTATGTAGTGTTTACCAAAATCCTTTTGAGCTTTTCAGACACACCTGCCATGTAAGGAATGATCAGGTTCTTCTGTTGGCTCTGGGTCTCAGACTGTTCCACTGTCCTCCTGGGTCAGGACACTGCCTTGTTAAAGGCCCTTTTTGGATATCCACAGGCCTTAATGGCTGTCCTCAGATGTTCATCTTCCTTCTTCTTGGCTTCTGTGGAGGTGGTGGTGTTTCTTGCTCTGTGGTTTAGCATCCTGATGACCCTTAGTTTGTGCCGTAATGGGTGATGAGAGTGAAATCACAGGTATTGATCAGTGTGTGCATGCTTTCTGTAGATTTCTATTCCTAAGCTGCTGTTGGCTCCTATGATAACTGCACAGTCCAGTAAAGCCAGCCGGTTGTCTCTGGTGTCTTCCCTGGTGAACTTGATATTTGGGTCCACTGCATATATATGGTCTGTGAAGGCCACATAAACACAGACTGAAGAAGCTACCTGGTTGAGTAGCAAAATGTTTCAACCTAACAAGAAAGAAGTCCAGCTGCCATTACTCAACTTCCAGATGTTATTGTATAATGTGATATGCCCAGAGAGTGGTGACACTAACGGGGCAGTTTAGAAATGTTACCAGTTTTAAGGAAAATCTGTGAAACAAGAGAAACCGGACCAAAGGTATTAAACATTCAGAAAACAATGCATCTATGTTCTCTAGTACAGGAATACAATATGCAGTATACCATTTATGACATGGATTGTAAAAGTCTACTACTGTTAAATAGTTCAATGCAAGCAAGATGTTTCCTTACCTAATGCTAAATTTATACAAACCAGAAGCTCTTAAGCTTCTACTGAATGGGAAGTCCATCAGTGTAGTAATGCAGGATTGTATTGTGGGCACAACAATACTGGCAACAAAAAGAAGGCAGCTTTTCTGCATGCAGAACACAGCTTGTGGAACAGGAACACTTATGCAAGCAGCACAATCCCACAGAAGCCTGCCAGCAGGACCTTCTACTCAGTAGAAGCACAATGGGATCCTAATCTTAATATGGAAGTCACCCTGGCAACTATTCCACCATGACAGAATTCATGAATTGTGAGCAGGAGACAAATGCTTATCATTATTGTTACTGTTGCTGTTAATTTAATACCTAGGAGATGTAGCATTGGATGTTCCTACTAGATCCTATCTTGACAATGAATAGAGTGGAAAGTTTTTGAATGCTCCAGTGAATCAAAAATTTAGATTACATCATGTGAACTAGAAACCGCTTGACTATAAATGCTCTGAAGCATGCAACTGCTAGGGGAGGAGGGGAATGTGGGACAGGAGAATCTATAGCCCAAAATTCTCCAGAAAATGTAAACAGAGATACTAAACAGTTCATTGACTGTGCAGCAGATGGCAGACGTCAGCCATGAACATAGTTATTAACCTGCTGCCGAAAAGCACTACACTGTGGAATAGAACAGAAGAAGCTTGACATCTACTGGGTGTCTAGAGAGCAGCATCGAACCAGGAAGGTAGGTAGGGTCAGAGATGCTGACAGGCAATCAAAAGGAAAGGAGTTTATACAAAAAGGTTCCAAATGAGAGCAGTGTGGGCCCACCAGGCCCACAAAAGCTTAAATGCAAGATCAAGCGTATGTGCAAGATTAAGTAAGGGGCCAGATTCTGGGGGAAAAGGCCACTGATTATAGTTTTCCCTTTCTAACTCAATCTATGTAGATTTCACACGTGTGCCTAATGTTGGCCATCCCCCATACAAAAGATTACACTGATGCAGAAGCATGTAGGAATAACCTAGAGCTCTTTTTAGCCTGCTTTAATTCCTATCTGGCACATAGCCATATATTCTACAACAGACTTCTCCAATGAGATGCCCTCCAGATGTTTGACACTGCAGATGACACCACCAGGGCCAGCATTGTAATTGCTTGTGGTTGGGAAAAATGGGGTTATAGGCTAACAGATTGGGAAGGGCAGCTCTGAAGATCATGGAGTGCTGCTAGAAGGAGTAGACAGGGACTTGCATCTGATAGTGCCGATGCAAACAAGCAAACAAAAAATCAAAACAAAAACAACAAGAAAAACCAGAGGCAGAATTTGGGAAAGATAATTTTTAAATATTACAACTTGTAGAATCACCTGGCTGGGGAATTCTGAAAGTTGTGGTCTAAAAGAATACATTTTCACAGTTCAGAAAGAAAGGTAAGAAAATGAATTCCCTTTAAATGGGATGCTGGATAGCTCCGTGGTTGAGGCATCTGGCTGCAGAGCCAGACAGACATTGGGAGTTTTATTTCTCACTGTGCCTCTTTGAGATGGTCTTGACCCGACAAGCCATAGGGTTCCTTCCACCTTTGCAGCTCTATTTATTATTATTATTATTATTATTATTATTATTATTATTATTATTATTATTATTATTAAACACCAAGCACAGTCAAAATTATAAAAACATTGACTGGTACTATATAACAGATACAAGGTTAAATTACACCAAAAAGAGATCTCAGAACCGGCTGTATTGATGAAGATATCAGATAATATACAAGGGATGGAGGACCACCCAGTAAGAGATGTAGCGATTGAGGTTGAAAAGCAAACTTTGAATGATATTGTTTCCCCTTTTAAAATATGGAAGAAAAAAGAGTCGCAGAAACAAAACAAGCACAGGGAGGAAAGGGGAGGGGAGAGCAGGATTTATATTATTTTGGGTCTGCTGAGTGCATTCTCAAGAAAAAAGGAGGGTGAAAGAGGGGATATATTTCACAATTGGCCTTGGTGTTCTGATGCTGTGGGAATAACATAGATTTAAGCTGTATTACACGTATAAGTTGAAAGCTAAAGAGGTTAATACATAGACAAAATAGTCAAAAGAAGAAGAAGAAAAAGAAGAAGAAAGATGAACTTTTATTGGAACATGAATAGATTAGATGTTTATATACTTGATATGTAAGATTGAATGATTATGCATTTGATGTTTTCTTATTCTCAAAACCCTTTTTCCATCCCCCCCACTGCCCTTTGCCTTTTGTATTCCTTCCCCATTACCCAACAGTTTTGAAAATAAAATTAAAAAATTATTTAAAAAACAAAAAAACAAAAACCTAAATATCTGTTAAATATTGGCGCAATATGTATGTTGTTCCTAATATTGCCATTTTTTGTAGCTATCATGGTGTGATTTCTCAGATCTGCAAGTGCTTATAGTACTGAGTGAAATTTCTTGATATTGTTCCCAAAGCCCCAATGACTACGGGAACCACTAAAGTGTGTTTTTTCCAGAGGCATTTTTTTCTTCTTCTTCTTCATAATCATCCACAGTTGATGCCTCAACTGTGGCGTCAACCGAAAGAGTGAAACTTGACCACAGTAGCAGAGTAGACAGGAGGAGGAGGAGGAGGAGAAGTCCCCCAAACCTGCTGTCTCTGTGCCTATGTTTTAATAGCTGGTACCATGTCTTCCCCTTTCCTTTACCGAAGGGCAGGCGTTGTAGCTGTTTTCTCCCTTTGCTATGTGAGTGGATAGCTGACTTCCCCATAAGCATCAAAGGAGGCACATTTCTTGAGCAGAGACACCATCAGATGGGGCCAATGGGGCCCCATGGATTGTGTAGGCAGCAGCCACCCACCTAGCTTATGGCAGGACCAGATACCTGCTGTTCTTCTTGAACTGAATGGATGTGGGGGAGGGAGGAATGAGCCTGAACCAGAGTGTAGGAGAGACAGGCCTCCCTCAAGTAAGGAACACAAGAAAAGAGCACAGGCTGGTGTCATTCAGAAAAGGCATATGTTGTCCTAAGAAGGTGTAAGGCTTTAGAGGATCAGCCCAAGCTCTCTCGCCACCCAAGGCAGGAAGCAAAGGGCTCTGCACTTATTGCAAAAAGACATGCGATTTGCCAGTTACCCTCCTCCTCTGTACCCCAGAGGGGGCTCTGCACTTATTGCAAAAAGACATGCAATTTGCCAGTTACCCTCCTCCTCTGTTCCCCAAAGGTGGCAGGAAAGATGGCAGCACATACTAGAACCAAGGCTTCAGCTACTCGGTCAGCACAGCACGCCTGAGCAGGATTTCCCCACAGTTCCCTCTCTTCACTGAGGCATCACACACACATGAGATGGCTCCAAACCCATATGGTTGCACTCTCTCTCTGCATATAACCTTCCAGTAGTGCTGAACCTGGGGAGGAAATTCAGGTGCCCCAAATACAGCTGGCTTACGGCATTTTGAAGTAAGTGAAGTAAAACATATCACTCACCCAAAACCTCCCCACCCTAATACTGTTCTGAAGGATTGGGGAAAATTCACTTAGTTACAGTTTTAACAAAAGTTAATGTTTTCATGCCTCCCAAACTTTATCATGAGAAGAAATTGTTATTACTTTAAGATTTCACATTTGTGACTCCTATAAAACAGCGGTCCCTAACCTTTTTGGAGCTGTGGACTGGTTGGGGGGATTGAGCTCCATGTGCGGGGGGTTACCCCTGCGCTCACGCAGTGGGCATGTCGCACTTGCAGGGGGGTGACATGCTCACCATGCGAGCGTGACACACCCACCACGAGTGCAAAATGCCACCCACAGGCAAGACATATCCGCCAGATGAGTGTGATACGCCCCCTGCGCAAGTGTGACACTCCCATAGTGAATGACTCACCCACTGGACGAGTGTGACATGCCCACCTCTAGTGTGACACGCCCCCTGCGTGAGTGTGACACTCCACTGCAGGTGCGGCATGTCCCCTACAATGAGCGTGACATGCCCACTGTGTGTGCATGCGGGGGTGTATATGGAAATCTATATCCATGGCCCAGTTCCAGAAAGCCCACAGACCAACACAGGGCTGTGGACTGAGGATTGACGACCCCTGCTATAAAAAGTAGACGAGAAATAAAGTGAGCACAATACAAAGCACACATTTATAAATGTTAATGGCTAAAATATGCAGAATTGAAGAAAATGCAGAACATACTTGGGTATAAATTACAGTGGTGCCTCACTTAACGAGCGCACCGTATAACGATTAAATTGCATAGCGATCCGTTTTTTCGGATCGCTAATGCAATCGCACAACGTTGTTCCCACAGGGAAAAATTCGCTTTGCGAAGACCGGTAAGCTTTTCCCTTACCGATCTTCGCAAAACGACTTAGTTTGAAAGTGTGCTGAAATGAACATGTTAGAAAAATATGCTAACATTTGCATGGATTTCAGCATGAGAAGAAAAGATATCATCTTGCAAACTGATACAAAGCATGAACAGGGAGGATGTGTGGGTGGGATTGGTAGAAATGCAATCCTCTTATAACTTTTTCTTCTGTTCTTTGAACCCTGTTTCTTGCCCATGAACAGAGACCATCCTAAACACCAATCATCTGATTACATTCCAGCTGCATTAGTGATGTATATCTGCACATATTTTGTTTGTGTGTTTTTCAGAATGAACCATCTTGAGCAGATTCTCCCCAATGAAAAAGATTACATGAGTTTTTGTTCTTTTTTCTTTTCTTTTCTTTTCTTTTCTTT